TCTCTCTCTCTCTCTCTCTCTCTCTCTCTCTCTCTCTCTCTCTCTCTCTCTCTCTCTCTCTCTCTCTCTCTCTCTCTCTCTCTCTCTCTCAGGCGAGCTCGATGGACATGTCTCCTGTCGCTCGCACCGCAGTCGCCATCGCCGAGTTTAGTGGAAGTCATCCACAGTGATCCGCACTTCGCCGTGCAAATACTCACGATCGCCGAAAGGCAGTTCTGCATGGACGACGTACAACGCCGGGTCGTGGAGGCGGCCGGCGTACCCCATCGCCACGTTCGACATGAGTAGGTCGATGATGTCCGCCAACACGTCCACACCTCCTGCCCAACGGTTGGGGATGGTTGTCCCCACCTTTCGCGCAAATACGACCACCTTACGCAAAAGTCGTCTGCCAAATCCAAACCCGATCGTGAGATGGAGGCACATGTCTCCATCCGCGTCGATCTCGTAATGGCGAACTTCATGTTTACAAACGCCCTTCTCAAATTCGAAGTCCCTATTATAGTCCTTCCCGCGCAGGTGCTGCATCCCGTAGAAGATGATGGAGCGACCCAAGACCCGCCCCCTCAACGCCACGTCAACCTCCATGTGCGCCGCAATCTAGCAAGGACAAGAAGTGGATCCCCACTATGAACACCCCTTACCAACACGCCTAAACAAAACCTGCACTCCTCCCACCACGCACGACCGGCGAGAGCCACCCGCACGCAGCACAACCCACGACGTCAGGCGCAGAACGATCGATGAAAGCAAGGCACGGATGATCGTCGCGTCAATGCGGCCGGTTCTCGACGTGCGAGTATTTATAGTCCACGACCGACGGGATTTCCTGTTCGAAGTCCCTGATGCCCTCTTCATCATCGTCCGATGGCTTGCTTCCATCAATGAACGGCTGCTTCACATCCCCTACGGAGGGTTGTGCCTCCCTTGTGAGCGAAGGAACGTGCAACAGGGGTGGGCCTGGAAATTCGGGGGGGGGGGGGGGGGGGGGGGGGGGGGGGTGGCTTGGTGTTGGGGGCCGAAGCCCGTGGCGGGGTTGGAGGGGCTTTGGGGCGTGTGGATTTCAACTCCGAGACAACGCAGATGCTATCTTCAGCAATGCATCGCACAACATGCGCTGACCCGCGTCAAGCACCTCGCACTATTTCTCATGCGTCCTCGCCTCCCTCTCCATGATATCGCATTGTCGTTGCAGCACATCACATGATTGACGCCTGCATGCACGATCCACAAAATCCGCCACGACTGTCGAATGTGTCTTCATCACGTCCGTGACAGCATCGAAGGCCAGCTGCCACGCATTCTTCCACTTCCCTGCAAGCGTGCCGCCTGAAGATCTGCTGCCATACCCATCCCCCGCTGCGCTGTCCATGTTGTCACTCGCAGACGTTTCTCCCACGACAGTCGGCCCTCTTGCTTGGCCATCTGCCTCGCCCTCATTCGGTTGTTGTGGAGGCAGTCCGCCGGTGTCAAGCAGATTAGGCGGGTGTATGGCCTGATAATGGCCCTGATTGTTGGGGATTGTTGTGTGGATGGCATCATACAGTTGTCGATCCATCGCAAACTTGAAACCTAGCTCTTTGCGCTTCTTTGAGGTGAGCAGGAAAAAAGATTGCACGCCCAAGTCTTTCTCCCTGTCCCAAATTTTTTTGTACCACCCGAAAATGTTCTCCCATCTCTTCATGCACGAATCCCCATCTCTATACGTAACCCCCTGCTGGGTCATCCGCTTCGCTATCTCGTTTCATTTCCATGTCTTCGTCTTCATCCGCACGAATTTGCTGCCCTGGCTCGCCATATAATCGTCCAGGTCCCTCTTGCACCCCACGAGGACGAGCGATTCATCCAAATGACAGGTCTGCCCCGTGCTCCCTCCCCCGCTCTCGCCATCTGCACCCCCCCCCCTTCCTCCCTCGCCTTCGACCTCCCACAACTCTTGCTTGCCTTCTTCTGCCCACCCTTTGATGTGACTTCCTTCACAGCAGGCTTGTCATCCTCCTTGCTCTCATCACCGCCATCCATGCACTCCTCTGCTACATCCTCACCGTCAGCGTTGGCGTCACCTCCATCGTTGCGTACAACGTCAGTACGCATCCTAGAGTACCGCGCTATGATCCTCTTTATCACTCGTGGGGACTCCGCCGCAGTCGCTGTCGTCACTCTTCCATTCAGGACAGTGTGGGGAACCCCATTGCTGACAGGAGTCGAGAACGCCGGCGGTCGACTATGGCTGCTCGTGCATGCAGACGATGACCTCAGCGACCGCTGTCCGTCTTCTCGGGCCTCCTGCATTGTCACTGACAAACCGCCCTGTGACCGACTGTTGTGCTCCACGAGAACGATTCTTGACGCATCCATCGTGCACGTCGGCGACAAGTGCAGTTGCAAAGGATCCCCTCCCGCCCCCCGCGCTCCCGTCAACAAGGTGGACATCGGACCCATCCCACTGCCACGATCACCCAATCTGCCCCCGGACTCGTAGGAGGTCTGTGTCGACCCCCATGCGAGAGAGAGGGTTGAAGAGGGCAGCACCCACTCCTCATCATCTGGCAAGGGCTGCATGTGACTCGACAGATGGGTGTACAACGCAGGGTCGAATCGGTGACGCATTCCGTCGGGAACGCCGTTCGTAGCACCCCCCCCTCATCCCATACATGTGCCCGACATGGAGATTATCATCGCCCATCCCCTTCCTCGCCCTGCCTCCTCTGCAGTCCTTCTTTGTTAGCTTCTTCCGCGGACGGGCCCGACTGTGCCTCAGCAACTGACATAGTTGCACCACAATGACGATTAACAATGCGCCAAGGAGGATTGCCAGTAGAGCAGTCTTCCTGAGGAGGTCTTCCATGCGCATGCGTGAGGCGTGATGAAGACAAACACAGCAGGAGAGAGTGCTGAAAACGACAACGCGTCTCCTTACACAGTGGCCATTTACATGGATCGGCCACCGCCAAGGGAGTGTTGTGCCCAGCCCTCTCATCCCAGGCCCGATTGCTGGCCGTTGACAGGGACGGCGTCACCGATCAACACATTTCGTATTCGGATGACCGCCAACAGCCATCTGGCCCCTGCCGCTTCCAGAACGACCTTCCTCCCCTCCCAACGGCTACTGTGGCCTCGCAACGACACTTGAGACATCGGTACCGCGTCTCCCCGGTGCCAAAGTCACCAGGAACAACCGCGTTTCGGCAGAATTTTCTTTTTTCGCGACAGCCTCCGTGAATGACACGATCCGTAGGGTCCCACCCTCACATTTCAAGTCACCTCCGACAACTCCCTAGAGATTTTCGTCGTTTTGCCTGGGCCGCCCTTATTTTTCAAGAGCGGACCCTACAACCCCAAAATGTGGAAATAGTCCGGAGTTCGTTTTCGTCGTCATTAGGATGTTGTGGAATGATGATTTTGTACGGATCCTTACATTTCAGTGGTGTGGAACGAGACCCTTACTTGAAAGTTTTCCTTCGAACAATGGGGTATCCCTTCTTATTTGAACTGCATTGCTAGAGATGGATTGAAAGTCTGGATGAGTTCATGAAATGTTTTAATTGGACTGTCATTCTAAGTAAGGATTTCCAGTCATAAATGGGTTAATCCAATCTAAATTAGAAGATATTTGTTGTAGTAGAATGAAAGTTTAATTAAAATATTTCATAAACTCGTCCAGACTTTCATTCCATCTTGAACAAATAGATGTAGTTGGAAGGGAAAGCTCATATTTAGACGGGAACTTATCAAATTAAATTGAAAATTTTAGAATTGAACGAACATTGGAATGATCATTTATAAGTATGAAAGATTATCTTTTAATGGAATGTTTTTTGAACTTCCATTTCTCGTGGAAATTTTTCTGTTGTTAGGTTGCATTCACCCCCTCTGAGACCATCCCACTCTTAGTGGTTCAGCAACATGACATTACTCGTGACCTGCGTAGCACGGCGAACGTGTTCGCGGTGCTCCCCGTTCACGCGAACGGGTCACGAAAACGCATTTTGGAAGGTCGCGAACGTCGTTCGTGGGGGCCAGTACCGGTCATCGACGGTGGTCAGGGCGGGGGTTTTGGGGCCTAGGGGAGGGTAGGGGTGACCCGCCAACTGAAGGCGGGGGGCAGGGGGGCAGGGGGGAGTCGATTTTGAATTCGAAATCGAACTCCAATGCGCGTTCCCCCCGGTTGGAGCAGCAGCGCACAGAGGAGGTGGCTGTGCAGGTGAGTGACCAGCCATAGCCCAGGACCAACCCCGTTCCCCCCCCCCTGCCCCAACCTGCCCCGTTGTGTGTGTGTATATGTGTGTGTGTGTGTGTGTGTGTGTGTGTGTGTGTGAGAGAGAGAGAGAGAGAGAGAGAGAGAGAGAGAGATAAACTCGTCGGCCATCTCTCTCCTCCTCCTCGTCGCCCTCTTCTTCTTTTTCTTCTTCTTCTTCTTCTTCTTTTTCTTTTTCTTCTTCTTCTTCTTCTTCTTCTTCTTCTCCTCCTTCTCCTCCTTATCTACTCCAACTACTCATGTCGTCATCGTTGCGCGGCTGCCACGTCAGCACGCGCATTTTTTGTTTTTATCTTCATCGTATTCTTTTATTCCTCTTCTTCTTCTTCTTCTTCTTCTTTTTCTTCTTCTTCTTCTTCTTCTTGTCCTCCTCCTCTTCTCCTCCTCCTCCTCCTCACCACCTTTTCTCCTCCTCCTCTTCTCCTCCTCCTCCTCGCCATCTTTCCTTCTTCTTCTTCTTCTTCTCCTCCTCCTTTTCCTCTTCTCCTCTGCCTCTTCTTCTTCTTCTTCTTCTTCTTCTTCTCCTCCTCCTCTTCTCCTCCTCCTCTTTTCCTCCTTCTCTTCTCCTCCTTTTCCTCTTCTCCTCCTCTTCTTCTTGGTCGGTCGGGAGTCCGGACCTCCTCCTCCTCGATCAGGACCTCCTCTGTCGTCGGGACCTTTTCCGTCGTTGGGACCTCCTCTATCGTCGGGACCTCATGCGTCGTCGGGACCTTCTCCGTTGTCGTCGTCGTCGTCGTCGGAGGTCCCGACCGACCAATCAATCAATCAATCAACCAATCAGTCAATCAATCAATCAATCAATCAATTCCGTCGAATCTATTGATTCGACAGGATCTTGACAGTCCAAGATCCTATCGAATCAATAGATTCGACGGGATTGATTGATTGATTGATTGATTGATTGATTGATTGATTGATAGATTTATTGATTTATTGATTGATTGATTGATTGATTGATTGATTGATTGATTGGTCAGTCGGGACCTTCTCCTCCAACCACGACGGCGACGACAGAGGAGGTCCCAACGACGGAGGAGGTCCTGACGACGGAGGAGTTCTCAACGACGGAGGAGGTCCCGATTGAGGAGGACGAGGAAGAGGAGGAGGAGGAGGAGGAGGAGGAGGAGGGAGAGGAGGTCCCGACGATGGAGGAGGTCTCGATCGAGGAGGAGGAAGAAGAGGAGGAGGAGGAGGAGGAAGAGGAGTAGGAGGAGGAGGAAGAGGAGGTCTTGACCGACCAATCAATCAATCAATCAATCAATCAATCAGTCAATCAATCAATCAATGAATCAGACACCGGGGAGGTTCAGGGACACCACCTATGCCCCCCCCCTGACCCCTATATATATAAATATATATATAAAAAAGAACGTTTTCGTTCAATGTTTTTTGGAGCCTGTTTGCGTTCGGGCGAACGTGTTGGGTTTTTTTCTTTTTTTTCTTTCCCCATCTGACACCGTGGCTAAACCCTGTAAATATGACACTCCGCCTGACACCACGACCACAGTACTTTCATTGCCTTTTTCGAACTCACGCCAGATTTCTTTATCGACGCATGTTTTTTTTGCCCCCCTATGAAACTCAAATGTGACATGAATCATGATGAATGTACTTCCCTAAAAAACAAAGGGGAAACTGCTTGTGACGGACTAGCCGGGATGGCGATTCGTCAGGATCAACACGGAGGGTTGAGGAAGGAAGAAATGGACTCCGAGATAGAGTTGGAAGGGACAACGCAGCTCCGACGCAGACTCAACATGCACGTACTCCGAAGTGTGCAAATGCAGAATGACCCAAGAAACAGATTGCAACTGGGATATACCCCCAACGGACCGACTGGACTGGATTGGACTGGATCGGCCTGGTACCGACAGTGGTACCGGGCAAGACTGGACTGAAATGAAACAATACACGGGTAACACGGCCTGTGGGGTGAGGCCACGACCTGGTCCCACAGGTCGAACAGACAAATAGCCGAATAGGCCCTTGCTGTAGGCCAAGGCAGATAGAGGCCCGTTGCATGATCCTCAGACCCGTAATGGATCGCAAGAGCCATAAACACGATATATGCAACGGCAACGGAACTCGATAATAAAGAAAGTTGAGAAATCTAGGATGTGGAGCAAGCTTCATGTGGAGTACATGCGATGCAGCCTAAGCTACATAATGTTACGAAATTATCGTTTCGAAGTCGGCTCCTAATTTCTTTGTCGGCGCGTGCTTTTTTGTGAGGGAGGAGGGAGTTAAGAGAGGAAATCTATTCCAAATAAAAACAATGAGGGGCCAGAAATTCCTCACGAATAACCTGGAAGTTACGAACTGGGACCTTTACTCAGCTTTGGTTGAAGGGGTTTGAAGCCTAAAGCTATGTTGTTGCTGCCACATTGCTATGCAGTATGGACGAAGCATGATAACAAGGGCGTCATTATTTTTTTAGCACTATTTGGAACTCACATATCAAAAAGTTGCATGGATAAAAGAAAATTTTCATCATCAAACATTCGAGGTTTAGGATCTCCAAGAAAAGCTCATAAGAATTTCCTAATTAGTTCTCTGGCAAAAAATCACGGTGTCTCTATTGTGTTGCTGCAAGACATCAACTTAATCAAGCTATTAGATAAAAAAAAATTATCGATTCACAGTCGTTAAGGTGGAAAGGGGCACAATTTTTTGGCCATTAGAAAGAGACGAAGGGGAGTGTGGTTGTCCTCTTTGCTTTGTCACTTAATTATTTTTTTGGATAACATTCGTAATTGTGAGGGCAGATGGATCTGGGTTGCAATTGAGCTAGACGGGGAAAGATGGGCTCCTTGCACCGTCTATGTCTCGACAGACCAGCATGAAAAGGGTTCATTATATTCAACTTCTCCCTGGTATTGTCTCACAGATCGACTGACTAGTTATAGCAGGGGGCTGTTTAACACAGTGTTGAAGCCCAAGCTAGATTTTGTGGACTGGACTACTTTGACGGTAGATGCCAGGATGTAGGTGGCTGCTACTTACGGTGGGCTGGAAGCCTATTGGCATCTATATTCACTAGAGAATCTCCAACAAACTACCATTTCGTCAAAGCAGAGATTTCACTTTGTTTAACGAGATTGACCCTCTGTTAGAACTCTCTATTTTTTTTCTGTTTTGAGGATTTTATGGTCAATGGTAATAGGTAGGCGAGCAAGGGGTAGGGGTCGGGGTAGGGGGGGAAGGCGATAAGGGGTAGGAGTCTGGGGAAGGGGTAATGGGTGGGGACAATGAATAGGGGTAAGGGGTAGGGGTAAGGGAAAGTTCAAGTAAGGGCTGATAATCCTACTGTTTCATGCTTGGGTTTAGGGGTAAGGGTTTAGGAGTGTACTAGTTATATGGTTATGGAACTTATGGTTGAGTATCCTACCTGTTATATGCTTGGGGTTAGGGGCAGTGGTTTAGGATGGTTTAGTATGGTTTAGGATACTTTAGGATCTTACTAGTTGTCTGCTTATTGTCGAGTATCGTAGTT